TATATATATATATATGTATGTATGCATGGTCACGCCCACTCATTGCTTCCATTCCCACACTCCGTAACGCTCACTCCTCCTCCCCTTTGTTCTTTTACGTCTTTCTATTTAAATTTAAAGAGATGAACCCAAAAGGAAAAGAGTCCCACCACCACCTCCTCGGCCATGGTCCATGCATATTAGCTTTTTTTAAAAAAATAATTAAAAAGAAATTAGGTGAATGCAGGAGCACCCTTCAATAATTGCAAGCTCCGGGTGGTGAGCATACTCATTGCTAATCGCAAAAAGCTTTTATCATCCATTGTTTTTGTAACATTCCACATCAAGTAGAGGGTCTTTCTTCTAGGGTTTTAGGTTTCCACAACACTAACTTCATAGTGGATAGAAACATGCGAAATCTATGCCGTATACATAAAAAGCTTTTGGGCCAACATGAGCAGCAATAAGGCTATGCCATTGGGCTCTGATATCCAAATCGCGGTAAGTAGTTAATGAAACTGAATGTTTAAAAAAACAAAACAGAGAGGCATCTCATCGTGTGTCTGTATAATGCCTCCTCTCATCTCATTGATACACTGAATTGGGGTCTCAAACTAGGCCTAGGCGCGGCTCATGTACGTGCCGGTTCTCGTATCCACCAGTATTTCTTCATCCGCGTTTACAAACAGTGGAACGCTTACTACTGCTCCTGTTTCCAGTGTCGCCGGCTTTGATCCACCTGCACTCACCCATTCCTTCAGTTTTATTCCTATGCTCAGTTATGCAATGCAAGTTCTTTCATCTTTCAAGGTAATTCTCAACCTCATCCCTAGTTGCTAAATCGGTTAGAAGAGGGTACTTATTTATACAATCATTGCGCAAGACAAGAGACATGCGCGTCATTCATTACCTTGTGCAGTATCGCCACGGAGGCCAGGATCAACATCCACCACTTTTAGTCGAACTGTAATTGGAAGCTCAAAATCTATAACCTGCACACAACCACATCATCACATACCTTAACCCAATAGACCTCTACATTAACCAATACGGGAACCGGGAGTACCTTGTCTCTCCAGTACAGCAGAATACATTCCATCCCCTCTTTCAGATACTTCGTCTTTTCACCCACATCTGACTCATTCAGACGTGTTTCCTCATATGTGTTCTGCATTACAATATTCAACAAGACAACCCGTTTTACTCCCATAAATCACGGAAGAAGAAGAAAAACCAGTATCCCTCCCTATATGTCTAAAGAGGGAAGTATACTGTACCAAATCCATGAAAACAAACTGTGAACCGTCCTTGTACGTGAATTGCTTCGTCTCCTTGAAAACATTTGCCTCCTCCACCTGAATGAAACCAACAAGGCAAATGTTATAATAAACGACAGCTCGAGGATTCAAAGGTATACCCTCATCTATCCAGAAGAAGAGGAGGATTGATTACGCTAATGCCAGCGCGAAACGTTTTCTCCACCGTGCTTCCACTTACGTAGTTCCTGATCTTAGTCCTCACGAAAGCAGCTCCTTTTCCTGGTTTCACATGCAGAAACTCTGCCCACACACCAATTCAACCACAAGCGTCACAATTCTCCCTAACCTAAACCTCAGTCTTGACTCAAGTGTAAGAATATCGACCAAATCAAAATCTGGATGTGTCGTGTACTGGTAGCAGAATCTCACACGTAACTAGTGTGAGGAAATTTTCGAGTATATGCTTCGATTACACTGAAAAATTCCAATCGCAACACCTGACGAGGAGTAGAATACCTAGAACACGCCAAGGAGCTCCGTCGACTTCGATATTGGTTCCCGCTTTGATGTCGTTGGTAGACAAAGCATAAATCTCTGCAAACAAAGGATAAAACAATTAACTTCGTAAGAATAACAAAGCAGTGCTCGTCAGGGTAAGAGAATGAAAGTGATAATTAACTAGGAAATCTGGAGGCTCTGGGCGAATTCCGCGGAGAGAGAAACGATCGCTTGGGAGAAGAGAAAGGGAGAGAAGAAGAAGGGAAGAAGAAGGAAGGAGAAGAAGACACAGCGCGAGCGAAGGTCCCCGCCATTGCTGTATGGCTGGAGAGAAAATGGAAGAGAGGAGAGAGGCTGCGCCGGTGGATGTCGGAGGAGATCCCGGCTTCCATTGGATAAGGATGTCTCGAGAAGGGGCTGTAAACCGAACCGGTGCATCGGTTCAACCGCATTTTCCGGTTTACATCGCGACATGGAATTTACTATTCACACGAGTCGAAGTATATGACGGTGCAATATTATTTTCTGACGATGAAAAAAATGCAAAAGTATATGAGTGGGCTTTTTGGGCCTAGAAAATAAGAAAAGGGCTCACAATATTTGGGCTAAGGTCGTCTCGAAGAGACAAGATCGTGACCATCCATTTGCGTTGCAGTCGCAATCAGCCGTAGATGATGATAGTCCGACAGTGTTTGTGCGTGCGCGTGTGCAATATCCCTCGTTACCTTTTGCAATGCTTCAACGGCCAACTCTGACGTGCATTTTCATTTTTCACTCACCCTCTCTCTCACCACGCGACCTCGGCGCGTGGTTCTGCCTCCCCCGCGTCATCCTTTCGTAATGCGACGTCATCTTCCTAAACGACGACATAATGATATCGTTTACACGTGCGGATGCTCTTTCTTTGGGCCTGGGCGGCTGAGCCGAGACGGACCCATTGACGACCCTTTCCTCGTCTCCACGCCTCATGGATTTTTTCTCTTTTTTAATATTGGAAAAATCCCCGAAAATTTCCAAATTTGGAATTAAACTAATTTCTTAATTTATAGGTATTTTTATTTATTTTTAACTTAAAAAATTGAATAAGATAATTCCTAAATTTATTTAAAAATATCATAATCGTTCTAATAATATTTTTAATTAAAATAATATGTTGAATAATTTTACATAGCGTGCTAATTGTCAAAACACGTCAGATTTATATCATGTATACATAACTGGATTTAATAGATACGGTTTAACAAAACCGATCCGTACGAGTGAAAATTCCAGATGAGAGTTATACCATGTATTCTATCATGGTTTTTAACCTATGAACATGTTTCAATACATCGCCTTCGTTTTGTCTTCTGTATGTTTCCCTTATTTGATATTTCTAATGCTTGACTTTGTTTCATTCTGTTGGTCCACGACTACTTTAATATTTCTTTCTGCTTAACATTTCAAAAAGCCAATGAAAGAAAAGCCCATTAGGTTTTTAATATATATGTGCTGTTACTGTACACTCGTTAATTAATTTGTGTCGATGAAAACATTGATAGCGACTGCTTTTAAATAAAATTATATATATATATATATACACACATTTGTACATAGATTCCCCATTTTAATTCATTACAGTTATGGATCGCGCGGACGAGCTTTGGAAATCCATATAAAAACAAGCCGTCGAACATGCAATCTTCGCACCATTCATCAGAAAATATAGTAAAAACTAAAAAGATACATCATTAAAATGAGTATCTAACAATTATGTCGAGGTAAAAAAAAATCATCATTTTGGCATGGTTATGTTTCATTGGTATGATAACGACGAAATACACACTCTATCAAACTTTTTTTTATTATTACAAAGCCGATGACATTGTATTTTTTTTGTTTATAAAAAAACATTGTTTATAATAACTGGTTCCGTATCAATTCACATTTTTTTGTAACCAGTGGACCTACCTAATTTATTTGTAATGTATACGTGTTATATTAGAGAATGAAAATAAATTTGTAATAATAGACGAAGGGTTTTGTTTAACGTATATAGAGAAAAAAAATGCAACGTCATTTTTACCCAATAAAAAAAAAAACTATCGTACTAGCAATCGGCGGAAGCGCGTGCATCGCACAGCAGTGTACGGCGAATGGCTCAATGTTTGCCCCCGTGGTAATCTCTTAGGGAAAAATAAATTCGGAGAAAAGGCAAATAATTTTATTTTATTTTTTGGTTCTCAAAAGAAAAGAGCAGAGAGGGAGGAAGTTTGCGGTGCCTTGAAGCATCATCGTGCATGCATATTTTCGTCCCCAGCCATCACCAAACTCAATTCGTCTCTCTCTCTCTCTCTCTCTCTCTCTCTCTCTTCATGAACTTCGCCGGCAATCGACTCTGTTCCTCTGTCGGTTTCTATATTCCCGTCATCGGATTTGCGTCGTAGTCTCTTCATTCAAGTCACCGGGAGGGTCCTCTTGATTCAACGATCCTCGCTACATATCCAGACGAGTCCGTTAGTTTTCGGCGGTGCTTGTCTCTTGCGTCGATCGATTGGAATATCTCCGGTGACTTTCTCCGACAGTAAGTTGCAGAGAAGCGAGTTCGTTGCTCTCCATCGGGAAGTCTTCTGAGATTCACAACAAGAAAACGACTCTCTCTGGAGATCAAGAGACCGAGTACGTGGATGCTTTTGGCTGCCTGTACACATCGATTGATATATATCAGGTGTCTTCCTCACCGAATAAGTCGCGGAGAGGTGAGTTCGCGCTTCTTCTTCATCTTTGTCTTCCTTCCGATTTGACCGATTTCTTCCGGTGTTGCTGATTGGGTCGAAAAGAGGGATTCTACTGATCCCCCGGAGCTCCTTCGCCTTATCTGTTGGCTATTCGATTGACAGTTGAATCGAGGTGCTCGTTTGGTCAATTATGGAGTCCAAGGTTTGCATGAACGCACAGTGCGGAGCGGCGTCGACGTCCGGCGAGTGGAGGAGAGGCTGGTCGACGCGATCCGGCGAATTAGTGCTGCTCTGCGACAAGTGTGGGTGAGTGGTTTCCACCTTTTCCATCAATTCAAAGAGTATTGCAAGGAATTCGATTTTCTGCCATCGAGACTGTAGCGTGATCGCGTCCGAAACAATGATTTGATTAAATAGAGTTCGTTTCATTAACCCTGTTTGTCCGTATTTTTTTCCAATTGATTAATGTGGAGTTTTATACTGAGTTTGCATTTAAATAGCAAGAGGCAATCACCTTCCATTCTGATTCTGGAATAACAACTGTATGGTTGCGCTCAAGAGGACCAGTTTAGTCAAATGTTTCCCTCTCCATCTTGAGTTTTGCTATGTCTGAGGATCAGATTCATCTACAAGCTTTGCGGCTGCTTCACTTCACTGCACATGGAATTTTGGTTAATGTTTTTTTGTTGAGTTACTTCAGGTCTGCATACGAGCAGTCCATATTCTGTGATGTGTTCCACACAAACGAGTCTGGTTGGAGGGGTTGCAGTTCATGTGACAAGGTGAAGAAAATTATTGGCTTTAGTTTTCAGCTGAATAATTTTCAATTATTAACACTGTTTTTTGGTTCCCCAGCGTCTTCACTGTGGATGCATTGCTGCCAGATTTATGATCGAGCTTCTAGATAATGGAGGTGTAAGCTGTATAAGCTGCGCCAAGAAATCTGGAATACTTCCTGTAAGAATACTTTCCTCCTTCGCTCCTCATAATTGATATGTCTTTCTTGCTAAGCTGTTCTTTGGCATTGCACTTTTCTTATCACATGAATGATGAATCGTTTATGACACCTTGCAGGTGAATGTCACTGATGACTCCAATGGAATTGGCGTTCTGAAACTTGACAGTGTCGGAGAATTGTGCTCACTTGCTGCTGTAGAGCACACAGGTGGCGCCGGTGCTTTCGAGAGGACAAACCTAAAGCAGTTGCTTCAGTTTCAAAGTATTGGCCCCCGTCATTCTGTTCTCCAAGTGAAACAGGAAGAGACACTGCTTCCTGCCAAGCTTGACGTTCTTAGACAGAAGGATGAAGAGAAAGACATGCACGAATTATCTGCACAACCAAATTTAAGCATTTCACTAGGGCCGTCGCTAAAACCAAGTCCATTTCATGATGTTTTCATTGATGAAAGAGGTAAGACTACTTCCATTTTCCAACTGGCACCAAGATCCCGACAACTTCTTCCAAAACCTGCAAAATCAGCACCCACTGCTGGCATGGAGGCAAATGGAAGCTTGGTATCACAGATTCATGTTGCGAGGCCTCCTCCAGAGGGTAGGGGAAAGACACAATTGCTTCCCCGTTATTGGCCGAGGATTACTGACCAAGAACTACAACAGATATCAGGACAGTATCCTTCATCTTTATACTGACTTGGAGTTTCTATTCTTGTTTATGCATTAATATACTCCGTGTCTGCTTGATATTCTTAACTTTGTATTCTCAAAGCTCGAATTCCAAAATCATACCACTGTTTGAAAAAGTTCTGAGTGCAAGTGATGCAGGCCGTATAGGTCGTTTGGTTCTTCCAAAAGCATGTGCCGAAGTAATTTCCTCGTCTTAGCTCTATTTTGATCTTCCCAAACCTTAGCTACTCGAAACTTTTCATTGTCAGGCATCACTTCAAATTTTTATATGACATGCAGGCTTATTTTCCTTCTATCACTCAACCTGAGGGCCTTCCTTTAAAGATACACGACACAAAGGGCAAGGAGTGGGTCTTCCAGTTCAGATTTTGGCCGAACAATAACAGTAGGATGTATGTCCTGGAGGGCGTAACCCCTTGCATACAGTCCATGCAGTTGCAAGCTGGTGACACCGGTACTTTGTAAAATCTTATGGGTAGCCTGGTTAATTTGTACCTAAATTGCATGTGGTTAGGGCATGTTGATTAAACAATACGTTTTAAATTATATATTTGCATAAAAACACTTTTGTTTTTTCTTCACGTGTTGTGCTTGAGGAGGACAAATCAATACATAGCAATTAGCTGCGATAGGAAACTTCTTATGGGCCCGGATGTCTAAACGTTTCCATTTTCTGCAGTAACATTCAGCCGAACAGAGCCTGAAGGAAAACTCGTAATGGGATTTCGTAAAGCAACAAACTCTACATTATCACAGGTAAAAGCATGCAGACAACAAAATTACATGATCATACCAACTACGTGTAACCAAGCCCTGAGGCACGAATGAATGGCATACCAATCACTTAACTGAATGATTTTTTTCAAGTTCTTTTACAAATCTGCCTTTGATGAGTGCTTATTATGCTGTTTTTTAGTCATTCAAGGGAAGCAGTGACACCCATCTAAGTGTGTTCAACAACTCTAATTTGGCTTCTGGTGATATCAATTGGCTTAAACTCGAGAAGCCCGACGACATGACAAAGGAGAACTTGTTGCTTCAATCGGTCCTGGTTCCAGCCAGAAAACGGGCTCGGAACATTGGATGTAAAAGCAAGAGACTGCTCATTGATAGTCTAGATGCCTTAGAACTGAGACTTACATGGGAAGAGGCTCAGGAGCTGCTCCGCCCATCCCCATCTGCCATACCAAGCATTGTTACCATAGAAGATCATGATTTTGAAGAATATGAGGTGAGTGCAATCTGTTTATTATCCGAAACTACAGCATTCTTGGTTCCTTTCAACTTAAATTTCCTTGAATATACTATTTTCATATTGTGCTCAAGGTAGTAAACACTCAGAAATAGTTGAAACTTTTTATTTTGTGTTGAATCTTGTAATTTGCTGCAATGCAGGAGCCACCTGTATTTGGGAAGAGAAGCCTTTTTGTTTCACGCCCAACTGGGTAAAATATCATTTACTATATACATGTAGACTAGGAAAAATTTTGCATGGAATGGTAAGAAGAACAGATGTAACAATTAGTCGGAACTCATCGCTGATCCTCAAATACTCAGGGAATATGAGCAATGGGCGCAATGCGATGCCTGCGGTAAATGGCGGAGGCTGCCGGTGGAGACTCTTCTTCCCCCAAAGTGGTCATGCACTGATAACATATCAGATCCTGGCAGGTATATGATAGTTACTCATCCTTAACTACACCTAGGTTAAGTGTCACAAACCATGTCAGAACTACAAAGCTAGTTTATAACAGGACCCGTCCCTAGACTTATAAGCTATCAGTCAATGTCATATGTGGTGAATTTGGAAGTATAACTCACACCACATTTCCAACGTTAATCTAAATGCTAATACTGGACAAATCTACATTGTATTTTACACAATGGTGTGATCTCATACTGATCAAATATGAGATACTGTCTGTCACACTGTACTTAATGTTGTAGTGATAGTGTACAATATGGTATTGGAATTATGACAGTGTGCAATAGTTTTTTCAGTGTAGATCTCTTTTACCTCATCGACACAGACTAGCTGAACAGGTCACTTGATTTACTTTTATCAGGTCATCATGTTCTGCTCCTGATGAACTCTCCCCGAGAGAACAGGAAACGCTCATTCGGCTAAGCAAAGGTATAATCCGCTTATATACACAACTTCCTGGTCGCTTTTTGTCTTTTTATTAGAATCTTGTTAAATTCTTTATACCTCTGGGGCTGATTGTTCTCTTTATGGAATCAATACACGGAGATGTTTTGTTGACACTGTCTGATGGAGGCCTTTAATTCAAATCAACATGATCGAAAAATCAAAGAAAAACACAATGCGAAAGAGTTGAAGGATGCTTAAAGTCATACTGCTTTTCTAGTTCTTATATTCTGAAATAGTCTGTGAACCATGGAAGGGGAACAAACTTCTCTTAATGTTTTCTCGTATAGAGGGTAGGAATCTAGAAAGTTGATTATGATGTAAAATACTGTTGTGTGCCCATTATATACTCATCAATATAGTAAGTAGGTGAAGTAATTGGTAATTGTACCAGGTATTGTTTATCATATCTTTTGATGCTTTCTAATTTCTATACGTGTGAGAGTATGATCACTTGAACTTTGAAGTTCTGGGTTGTTGCTTAGCTTGTGGGGATTCATGGAAATTGAGTTTTCTTTTTACGGTCCATAGAGTACAAAAGGAAGAGGATGGCATCGTCAAATGAAAAACTAAATCAGGAGAAGGAGACATCATCAGCGTTGGAGACATTGGCGAATGCAGCAGCAGTAACCAACGGAGAGAGTGCAGGGGAAGGAGGGGTTATAACAGTTGCAGCAACGACCAAGCACCCAAGACACAGGCCAGGATGCTCGTGCATAGTGTGTAGCCAGCCACCAAGCGGAAAAGGCAAACACAAGCCATCATGCACATGCACAGTATGCGAGGCAGTCAAAAGGAGGTTCAAGACTCTAATGATGAGGAAGCGGAAGAACCAGACAACAATGACAACAAAGGAGGAGGAGGGAGAGACGGGTCAGGCGAGCCAGCAGACTATATCAGAATCAAGAGATGAAACAGAGGTGGAGAGCCGCCCTAAGAATGAGGAATTGATGGTGACTCCAGGTGGAGGTGGGAATATAGACTTGAACTACAACCCGGGTTCCAAAGAAGGCCCAGCTCGAGTGAGCATGATGAGCCTTCTGCAGGCGGCCACCTTCCCATTGGAATCCTATCTTAAACAAAAGAATGTTACCTCTGCTGGGGAGCAGCAGCAAACTGTTGAAATGGTGAGCATGGAACTTGGTTCTACTAGTTCTGCCGCTCACGACCTCACGAGCTGACGCAATTGACATGGACATGCTCATGACAACCTTATCTATCTATCTGTCTTGTTTTTTTTTTTTCCCTTCAAGAGGTTTGTTTGTCGGTTTGACACGCCAAATGTCCCGAATGGTGGTATGCATCCCTCTGTATTATTGATTCAGTTGGATTCATTTCCATTCTGGACGTTTGGCTTTTGTAGAAATGAGTAATGTGTCGGCTTGTCCTTTTTCCTTTTTTCCTTTCTTTGGGTTTGTGTTCCGTTCGTGGGTGGAGAGAGAGAATACCGGAAGTAATAAAGCGTGGATTGTTGTAATCTTGTGAAACTGAATAAATCGAATGCACCACATCTGGATTCTGAAAGCTCACTCGCTGCAGTGAGAGAGTAATGCAAAAGAAACGGTGCCACGTAGACAACTCATATGTCCAACAGAAACACCACCATCCCCCCTTCCTAGGGGTGTAAAATGGACGGGTCGGGCTGGGTTCGGGTCGGGTTCAATTTGGGCCTAGAATTTTTCGGGTCGGGCCGGCCCGCCCATTTATTTTTCGGGTTTAGGATCGATGGTCCGCAGTCCAGTCCTACAGGGCTTCGGGCGGGTTCGGGCCGGGCTTCGGGCTTTTTATTAAATAAAAATATTTTTTTGCGATAATAATAATAATAATAATAATAATAATAATAATAATAATAATAATAATAATAATAATAATAATAATAATAATAATAATAATAATAATAATAATAATAATAATAATAATAATAATAATAATAATAATAATAATAATAATAATAATAATAATAATAATAATAATAATAATAATAATAATAATAATAATAATAATAATAATAATAATAATAATAATAATAATAATAATAATAATAATAATAATAATAATAATAATAATAATAATAATAATAATAATAATAATAATAATAATAATAATAATATTATGAAACATTCAACAAAAATATTTTTAAAACCGATAACAACAAAGTCATTTAGTTCACAAATAAAAATAAAATTGAAAAAATTATCCAATTGTTCAATTCTCCAACACCACAACATGCGATTAAAAACTTTTAAACGTGATAAAAAAATAACAAATATAATATAAAAAAAATTCTATGATGTAATTAATTTAAAACCTATAGAAAAAAATCAATATGTTCATATACAAACAAAGGTTTAAAAATATATATATTTGAAAATTTCTATCCTTTCTAAAATGTAAACTTATATATATATATGATGTAATATGGTTAAGAAATTCAAAACTCCCGTCACTTTAAAAAGTTTAATTGGAACCAAGATATAAAAATTCATCATTTGGTTCAAATATATATATATATATATTTAGGCACACATATTTATAAATATAGAGAGGTAAAACTTTGATTTAGAAAAGAATGTTAGAAAAAACAAAAAAAATTAACGGGCCTCAAACCCGGCCCGAGACCCGACTGGCCCGGCCCGACCGGCCCGTAGCCCATTTGGCCCGAGGCCCGAAAGCCCGAAGTTTAATGAGTCTACATTTTTTAGGCCCATGTCCTTATAATTTTCGGGCGGACTCGGGACGGGTTTCGGACTCCGGACTTAATTGACATCTTTTAACTTTTAATATAACAAAGAAAAAAAACAACAAACAAATCACATTCTCATCTCTTCTTTATACGTTATAACATAACAAATCAAACACAAATAAGGGAGCAAAAAAAAAAAACAAGAAGCCACACTCGCATCAACAGATCAAAACCCTTCCACGCTAGCCCTCCTAGCGCTGGCCGATGACGCCCTCCGAACCTCTTCTCGGTCGAGATCGTCTAAGGTTAAACCCGATGAACATGCCCGCGGTGGAAGCATCAATGGCAGTGCTTGACCTCGACTCCTACTTGGAGACACCGATAGCCGCCTCATTCCCGATGACCCCGGTGGCGGCGATGGCGAGAAACTTGTCCTTGCCTGAGCCATCGGGTTAACCACTATCGTATTCAGGCTGCTAGATCTCGACATGTATTTCCCAGACACCACAGGTGGCACAGGCTCTCGAAGTGGGAACCTGCACGAGTACTTCATGTCCTGTATTATCTTGAGATTCTCCACAATGTTCCTCATGGTAGGCCTCTCCGACGGCTCGACCTGCAGGCATTTCTGGGCGATGTCAGCCACACTCCTGGCGGCTTTGGCGGGAAACCGGCCCTTCAGCTGAGGGTCCATTATCAGAGAGAGCCTGCAGTCGTCAGCCAGAAAGGCTCTGCTCCATTTCACCAAGTTCCTCTCTTCCTTGGGGTAACGGCCGTCCATGTTCTTCCTCCCCGTCAGTACTTCCAGAAGAACCACTCCAAAGCTCCATACATTGCTCTTTGGCGTCAACACACCTCTCTCTAGTGTCTCCACTGACAGATTTGCAAGTGCCTGCCCAATGACAATGACAATGAGAATCCAACGAAATGAAATGAACACGAGACCAATCTTTCAGGGTTTAGGTTCATCCAAAAGGAGACATGATTAATATCACGAAAATGGCAGGGATGACTTACAGCGGAGCTGGTAGAGGCCTCCCCCTCGGGTGCATGACCTGCACAACCATAGCCGGATAGCTTCGCACTGAAATCTTTATCGACTTGAATATTGGCTGTTGAGAACTCATTATACATTGCCTGCTCATCAAAGACAACATGGATCAGTTTCTACGTTCCCAGTGAATACCGAAATTGCCAAACCTTCTTTACAGCGAAGGCTAATAGTTTCTTTCCTCTTTACCTGGAACGGCCCTTCCTCATGCAAGAACATTAGACCCTGTGCAGCACACAGAGCAATCTTCATTCTGGTGTTCCAATCAAGCGGAGGCCCGTCTGATCTCCCATACAACAACCGGTCCAAGCTCCCGTGAGCAAGCCTCTCATACACCAACATTCTGGGTTCAGATCCCTCGTGGGCATGATACCCCAGCAACTTGCAGAGATTCGGGTGCTGCAGTGATGCTAACGTGTTCACTTCGTTTATAAACTCCCTAATACTCTGTGCATTGCGAAAACAAACACTGTAAGGGAACAAACATAAAAATCTCCTCAAGCTCTGCCAATGTAACATTGAGAACTACCTGATTGGTTGGGTGAAGGCGAACAACAGTTGCCTCGACCTTCTTGGAGTTCCCAGCATCATCGCCAAATGAAGCCATATACATAACAGACGAGAGACCTTCTGAAATACAACGGTCTGAAGAAAAACTGCTGCAAGCAGCTATGACATCTTCGTAAGAGAAGCTTCTAACTGACCCACTTGGCGGCAATGGCAAAGGCCCAGAGGCATACAACGGACCGCTGGCATTAACTGATTTAAAGCTCCCCAAATTCTTCAAGACAGAACCAGCCTGTGGAGATGGCAATGGAAGAGGTTGTGGGCTAGACGACTTTGGCTGGTCTTTGGCACGGTGACCTCTCAGCTCCTCTTGCTCGTCATGGCAAACTGTAGCAAGTGTGTCGCGTTCCGCAGCCCCATGAAGGCTTGATGGGGCAGACAGCGCCCTTGTCCGGCTACTCATCTCAGCGGTACACCCACTGCCACTGCCACTGCCACTGCCACTGCCACTGCTAAACTGAATCGGCTTCACCCTTGTTCTGAAACTTGGAGGAGCTGACTGCAGCGTTCGGGTGGGAGCCTTAGGTGGCTCAGGTAGAGCGGTTGGTCTCTGTTCCTCATGATCAAACCGGTTAGTGTGAACCGGTGGCTCACTAAGGCGTTTCTTCTTGCTCTTAAGACCAGGGAAACACCCCATTACTATCCTAACACTGTTGGGACTCTTACTTCGATCCTCCGTTAAGGTGCTGATGAACAGGATACGTAGGCATGTACGTACAATGAGCCTCCAAAAGTATATACGCAGAAGACGTTAAGGATGCTGATAGCTCAGTCTTCAATTCAGAATTCAGCCCAATGGTATAGCTCGCAATTTAAGCTGGAAGGATTCACAACACAAACAGTTAACAAAACAGACACTTGGTAACTTCTTCAAGCAGCATGTAGAGAAACTCGATGACCACATGTAAGCAAGCTTGCATATTACAAAAGATGCGATTTTTGAAATCCTGGTTTCTTTTGCTGATTTGTTTGGTGACAGAACTCCTTCAGATAAACAATGAACTGAGTTCCCTGAAGCTTGGGAGATCCCAGAGTTCTTAACTCAAAAACATTCTAGTTTCTTTTCTAAAAAAAAGCCAAGAAATCAAAATTGCACAACTCCTCTCCCATGTACCCACGATTTCGTCAGGATTAGTGCTGAACTCTGCGTTACTACCGACAACACGGACTAAGATCGAAATAAAGCACGCAGAGGGAAACTGCGCATAAATCCCAGCATAGAGATAAACCTGATGAATATATACATATATGATGGGGTGTATCCATCATCCGACCAAGATGCGATTTTGACCATCATAACCACGCTTACGATGTGCTTACTGACAGCCAATCATTCGAAGGCGATATTTCAAATTCGGCGATTACAATTCAAAATTTTTTCGCAAAACAAAACCTAGAATTCAAAAGTCCGCACGCATAAATCGACCCGCTAAATCTGACGAACTCGGAGCTAGAATCAAATGCGGGAGACCGGGTCGACCGATCTAGCGGATAATTAAGAAAAAAATCCCGAGAAAATCAGCCAAAAGAATCCAGAGAAAGAAGTCCGAGAATCGATCTACAAAACGAAGAGGGAAGAGAGAAGGAGAAGGCTTTCAAACCTGGAGGAACGTCGAGAGGCACGAAATGAGAGAGAACAAAATCGGAAATTTCTGATGAACACCCGCAAGAGGAGAGTATGAGAAAATGAGGAAAAAGAAAGCTAATCAAGAAAGTTAGAGGAGAAGGGTGTGGGGCCCAATGGGCAGTGGTCAAAGTTCAAACCAACCAAAAACCCGAGATTTATTATTAGTTTAACTGCATTCTTAATTCAATTCCACAGCTAACTGCATTGGAATTTTCTTACAGGACCCTTTTGCCCTCCCCTCATCAACATTCTTCCCAAAATTAGCACATTATTTCTCCCTTTTAATGGGGAAAATATAAATCTTTTATTTCCATTTCTTCATATATTTCTTTTGGAGGAAATATAAACTGATAATATACTCGGCCAAAATTCAAAAAAAGAAAAAGAGGGGAGGGGCAGAACTGTAAATCCGTAACTAAGGGCCTCGAGAAAAGTGACATCTCAGTCAAACTTGGGAAACTTATTTTGTCTTTAATAATCATATAATATATTTTTTTTCTAGAAAAAGGAGGCACATCAGAAGGGAAGGGTCAAAGGAACTAATCAGATAGGCTTTTGACTCGCAATCTGAGCCGTATATTTAGATCGCGAAGAGACTAATGGACGGACAAGATGTGTTAGAAGAGAAGGGGGACCCATAGACATCAACCTCGGCGAAGATTATACAAAAAAGAAAGAAAGAAAACCACACGAGGCGTGCACGCGTGCGAGGAATTGCGAAACCCAGGACACGTGGGGGCCCTTCGGAACCACTCCTCGTTCTTCTTTTAGAACAAAACAACTGTTAAGTTTCGGTCAGAGATCCCACAACCCATGAACTGATAGATAGATGGTCAAGGGATTAAATGCAAACCCATGAGATTAAGAGAGAAACAAGGAAATATCCATTTTTACAGAATGTAGCTTTTGATGAAGATGGAATCTTTTGGGCCTTTATTGGGCTCTTTGTCGAAGCCCATTGTAGGCCCATGGACTCTTGAAACAGACAAGACAACAATGAAATCAAACCTTTCTTTCTTTTAAACAAAAAGAATAAAGATTAGAGAGTAAGGGGGGAGGGATTATCATTGAAATAACAGCGGGAGAGCATAAAACGAAGGAGGGGAGGAGAACACAATTAACATCATCTTACAGCCTAAGAGACAAATCTATTCCGGAAGCCGTGCGACTCTCACTCCCCGACTGCTCTTCTTTCCCGCCCTCGTCCTTGTCCTTGTCCTTGTCCAGCTTTGATATGAGATTCTTTGACAAATCGTCATTCGTCCTGTCACCCAGTAGAGATGTCATGCTGAACCCTCTGTATGATCCCAAAGGGTACCCCATGGCGTTAAACGGATACACCTTGGATCTACCCATGACGGGATCGTAGAGGTTATAACACGTTCTGTTGGCAAAAGGGAGGGAGAGGGAAGGGTACTCCAACTCGATCTCTTTGCGTCTCTTGGCGAAGGCCCGCTCTTGCTTGTGAGCGTTCTGGTGACCGCCCAAGGCCTGAGACGTCGAGAACTCCTTCTTGCAGAAGGAGCATGAAAACACTCGAGCTGCTCTCCCACCCTCGCTCTGGCCGCCCTCCCTCGTCTTCTCTTCCAGCAGCAGACGTAGCTCTAATCTCGGGTTCTCTTTCATGGAGGATGACGACACGCTACCTGAGGAGTTTGATGGGCATGGCTTGTCTTCCATATGGGTTTGGTTCGATTCGAAGGGGAGTATTGGGCTCTATTTATCGACGGGGGAAGGGGTTGATTGCTCATAATCTTCACAATTATGGTACAAAATCGAACCACATTCAAGGTGGATGGCTTACTGAGACTGTTTTTTGCCTTATGTTTCGATTCTTTGAATATCGCATTGAAGATTCATGTCCCATGACTCGTGTTCTTTCCCATATTACCACTACCCTTTATTTAGATAATCCCCCCCACATTCATTCTCTCATTATTTGCTCCCAATCAACCCTCCTTCCGTTTCATTTACCTTTATGTCTTTTTCTAATTTAAAAAAAATGGAAAACCGATATTTTGAATTTAAATTTGAGAACCAGAAAATATATTATATCTTTGAACATGATTGCTTTTGTAAGTCTAAGCCCAGCATTAAGCAAGTTGCATTAATTATTTACTTTTTTTAAAACTTGACATGCGTTTTGAATTTCAAAACTAAACTTCCGTTATATTTTTTTGTCCTAAGGATCCCTGTCATTTATTATCTTTATTTTAGTTAGCTGGATATATATTTGTTACCTCCGATTTCAAATTTATATTCGTATAAATTTCCCGAACTGAAGCATCAATAATGCCAATTACCATCGATATATGGCATGTGATATATGCCCCCAACAAAGCCACCACAAACGCAAGATTTAGTTGGGCCTAAAAGCCCATTATTCTATAGGCTAATGTAGTATTGAAACCAAGTAAGAATGGTGCCAATTGCAAGGCCCAATACATATGGCCCACAGAAATCCGTGAAATCAAAAGTTTCTCTTTCCCCTCTTCAAATGTGAATGTTAATATGGACTTCCGTATCTCTAAGACAACATTTTTGGACCGCCGACCATATTGTATATTGTATGATTGGATCACTGACGCATCTATAAGGCCTAAGACCAATCGATTTTGGACGGCGTAGCCACGTGTACGTATGTAATATTATGATGATGTACGTACAAATTATTTAACGAGAAAACGATGCCATGTTTCGGCCAGACGAGCCTTTACGATGCAGGAAAAGCCAATATCTGCTAACGCTGCAAAATATTGGCGGGTCTTGAAACCCTTCAATTCTTGATACGTGCGATATTTATTTATACGTACATTTTATAAATAAACGCCAAACAATTCATTATTCCTAAGCAAAGTGACAAAACTTCGCTGCCTGTCCCTTGACTCACTCCACGAACTATAGTATTAAGTAAAGTAATTGTTTATTATGCCATTGTTATATTTTATTGTTATATAATTATCCGGTTTTGAAAAATCATGCAATCGTCACCATACCACCGTTTGTTTGAATTATTTTAGATTACAGATTTCATCTATATATTTTTTTCATATAAAAACAAAACAAAAAATCAAATGCCGCTTGACAAAACGGGAAACCAGTCCATCTAGCCGTAAAACGAGCCGACTCGTACATAGCCTCACGAGTTGACCCATATTTTTTGAGTTGGATTTAAAATTTTTAAATCCCAAAAAATAGGCCAACCGAACGGGTTCATGGCGAGTCAACTCGACGAGTCAATGCACTGGTTCGTAGGGCATAATTTTTTTTTTTAAATTTTTATAATTAAAATTTTAGTTTTTTTATTATAATTTAAATATTATAAATGTTTTTAAAATTATATATTTAATATGCATATTAAAACGATCTGAGTTAAAGTGATCTATTTTTGGCTCATTAAAAAATGGGTTAGACTAAATTAAACTAAAATATTTCCATATCAAAACGAGTTGGACTTATCTAGGCCGGCCGCCCCGTTTTACACCTCTAATATACATGTCTTATATAAACGTATACGCATGATGTCAGCTACATTTGAGTATACAAAGTTGTGATGTCATTTTAATTATTAACTATTTTTATTGAAGTCATGGTCCATCTGTTCTGAAATAATTTCAGAAGACACGCAAACTGTTAGATGCATGTTTTGGTCCCAGAATGCCTCGAGAAAATTATAATATGGTTGCGTGTTGGAGAAAGAAACGTGCAAAGAAAATTAACATCTCCCGTAAGCATAATGTTACGTAAGTGTGTGTATATATATTCTATATCTTTGTAAAATATTCATTTTGGGTTAAATAAGTAAAATATATAATATGTTGACTTTAGTATATAATTATTCCGTTCCGTGCCAATATTCTGTCTACGTTCACGCAAAGTATCCCCATTGCTGCCCGAAAGATCCAGGACGTGCAAAAAAGCTTTGAAATTATTTTATATTTGCCTTTTAAAAAAATGTGTCGGACCCATCTAAATATTACATATAGGGGTCTACCCTAACCCAATCCCAACCTGCATTTGATCCCAGGGTTTTAGATTCAGACTCGTATTGACCCGATTTATTTTTCAAGCTTATATAACCATATTTGAAACGCGGCCCTATAGATTTCGGATTTGCATAGGACTGGACCGGAACGGATCACACAAATTTCTTTGTAAATGTATTTTTTTCTTTTTTATTAAGATTTTTTTTAAAAAAAATATCAAACTGGTTCAAATTGAGTTCAAAACACGATTTGAGTCCAGTCTAAAAACCCAATTTTTTTGCAGGTCAAAAAACTTAGTCGAAAATCTGTTATTTTTCAGAGTGGATCGGGTCGAACTTTGGGCTTCGGTCTAAATTAAACCCCTAATTAATACGATAGTTAATATTAGTGGATTGGTTCATGTGTAGAATTTTAACTATTGTTTCCATTAATTTTTTTTATTTTTATAATATATGATTTGCCAAGGGTTAGAATCTGGGGTGGAACACTCGTTGTGCATATCCACTTACCAGTTGAGCCAACCATTTTTGGTTGTTTCAAACCTTAGTTTCCATTAATTTCCATGGCGAATGTCCTAATCATAGGTATCTGTTGTGGAAATCAAATAATAATAATTGGAGAATATAAACAATATGAATTCTCTTTTTTCCCCCTCTCTTACCGGATGTTCAAAACTTTAATCAGAGTTTCTTGCTGATTTACTGATATATTTTTTTATTTATATGGAGCAATTTTTTTATCATATAATTTCTCGGCATTATTTGTACAATTAATGTAATTAACAACAATCTAAAAGAATCAAATATCGATTGTTAACTGCGCGATTTACTTAATATCTTATGAAATGCACATACTAGCTCTCTACATAAATGAAAATAAGAATAATTGATATATTATATATCGCATTTTATTAAATAGTAAACTATATATGTACTTTTAAAGTGAAGATTTGAACAGTCTAATTACGAAGAAGTTACGCAATTGCGCCTCTAGGAACATGCATATAATTATGATTATGAACCACGTCTTATTAAAATGTTAAATCGAAACATATGTAATCCGATTATTTCTTCCTTTTGTTTTATATCTTGTTAAATAAAATTCAACGTATGACAATATCTGTTCTTTTAAACCCTTTTCTACAGATATTAGGAATCTTCCAATTCTACCATGTTAAATTTTAACTGGCATTTAAATCTGAAGAACGAATATTAATTTTTAGCATCTCAAAATGAAAATTACGACCTGGAAAATTATTGTAAATGATATAATCTCTCAAGATATTCATAGCTGTATGTATTACGAATACAGTGGAGGTGAAAATGTTCGTAAATGATATAATATGGATCAATAAAACATGTATTTGTTTTGACAGTAAACTAGTTTGGTTCGTGAGTGATATATACCTCAACTCACTCGAGGTGTCATTCAGTCTTCCTGACTAAAATGATATTTTGTTATAGAAATGTAACCCGGTCTGTGTTGAAAGTAACTCGGCCTGTGTTGCTTTCAGAGAGAATTTCGTTTTGCACAGGAACTCGGACTGTGTCATGGTGCCTCAGTGTGAGTCAGTTGTAACTCGGACCGAGTCAAACGTATGTGAGAAAATCGTGTGTTGCTCATAAAATTGACATGATCTGAGCCATAAGTTCCTCAGACCGTGTCAAGTGTAACTCGATCTGAGTCAGATGTAACTCGGTCTGAGTCAATTTGCAGAAACACGAACTGATGCGATTCTTTGAGTGAAAACTGCAGATTTTGCAACTTTTGGTGATGTACTTTAGCATTTTATATACTAAAGATGTCATAATAGATTGCGTACGAGATCTATTCCAATTTTGAAAGATTTAGAGAGTACTTTCGATAGTTTTTTGGAAAAACTCTCCCGAAAACTTTTGTTCATTTTCTTTTTCACGTTTCCTTATCTGTCCGTTTTTGAACGAGCAATTCTAGAACGTATTTCTCTTCATTGTTTCTGAGAATCGTATTCCGGTAGTCGTTACTTGTAATGGATGAAATAACGGTTTTAGGAAAGTGTCTACACGCCTGAAGATATATCCGGTCCCTCGTTCTCATTTTATTCTCGTTTTTCCGTTGTTTTTATCTAGATTTCTAATAAAAATCAAATTATAACTATGACAAAGATATAGAACTATATTCTTTTAGTGGAGCCAAAAAATAAATATTCAATGATAAATGGAAAATAACTTTAAAAAAAATGAATAAAGGTATGCAGCCAAAATTGGCATTATTGTAGTGAACGCAGTTAATCATCATTTTTTGGGACAAAAAACTTGTTCATGCGTGTAACGTGAGTATTAAAGCAACATTTATTATTTATAATCAATAAATAACCCACTGAAAAGAATCCTATTTGCAATTTTTAAAATAGATTTTTTCTTTGTTCGAAAGACTTACAAATATCTTGTAAAGAAAATATTATTTTAAAACCCATCACTCTATTTGATTCATTATATTATTTGTTCGGAAAACATACGCACATCAGCTGCACATTTTTTTTGGGTACAACGCATTAATTGTGCATAATACATTTTTGGTAATATATAGGATAATTAAATTAGGCATCCTAATTCCTAACAATGCCTACAAAATTTTTGTAATTTGTATTTCTAAATGGAATAGTGGTTTACAAAAAAAAAAACCAATTACATTTTTTTTGCCCGAGAATCAGACAGACCATACGGCATATGGCATATGCCAGCCGCCAGCCCACATTAAATAACAAAACTACCAATTTGTATTATTAAATAATACATTTTTAAATTGAAAACGTTCAAATTGTTTTTATTTTCACGTGAAAACGTAATACTAAATGACAAAATATTTTTCCTGACGTTTAAGCAGTTAAAAATTCAAATATTTTGGAGTAATTTCTGAAAATTCAATGGAATATTATAGTATTATACGGTTTATTATACCTATACACTCGGAGTTGGAGATACGGGATGAAACACGACAAAAGCACTGGGGACACGTGTATGGTCCTAATTCAACTTAAAGTCCCAATCTTTAATTGAAAATAAAGTTTTCAAATAATATTAATAGGCAGAGGAAAAACACGACGAGACTCACGTCATCAAAATCTGTTCAATTGACGGAACTGCCCCCGTCTCCTCCCTTCGGCCACTCCATTAATCCCTCCACTTATACGTATATATAGATGTTTGTATACGTGCTATCTCTAATCAGAACTCAGCTTATCTCTTATCTCATCTCTATCCATATTCGAGCTCATCCCAACAAATAGGATAAGGATTTCCATTATCTACTTCTATTAATATCGTTCCGAGGATTTCCATTATCAGTTTTTTTTTAATTCACCGGCGTTAATCAATTAGGATTTTTTGTGCAATGGTTACCCAAAATTCAGTGTTTGGGTCTCGAAATTAGCGAAGCGGAGATCCGGCCTTCTCATTCTGGGGCTGGATATATACAAGGATTTCATGGTAGATTCCGGCGCCGTCTCGGCGGACGAGGAGGAGAGCCACCGTCCCTCCGCCGGGCTTCTGTTCGGGAAGTATGAATTGGGGAAGCTGGTGGGGCGCGGGGCCTTCGCGAAGGTGTACCACGCGCGGGACGCGCGTACGGGTCAGAGCGTGGCCATCAAGGCCGTGAGCAAGCAGCGGCTGGTGAAGGGCGGGCTCAATGCGCACGTTACGAGGGAGATCGCTATCTTGCACCGCCTGCGTCATCATCATATCGTGCGCCTCTTCGAGGTCCTGGCGACGAAGACGAAGATCTATTTCGTCATGGAGTTCGCCAAAGGCGGAGAGCTCTTCGCGAAGGTTTCGAAGGGGAGGTTCAGCGATGGTGAAGGGCGGGCTCAATGCGCACGTTACGAGGGAGATCGCTATCTTGCACCGCCTGCGTCATCATCATATCGTGCGCCTCTTCGAGGTCCTGGCGACGAAGACGAAGATCTATTTCGTCATGGAGTTCGCCAAAGGCGGAGAGCTCTTCGCGAAGATTTCCAAGGGGAGGTTCAGCGAGGATCTCAGCCGTCGGTATTTCCAGCAGCTAATCTCCGCCGTCGGATACTGCCATTCCCGCGGCGTCTTTCACCGGGATCTGAAGCCGGAGAATCTCCTCCTCGACGAGAACCTCGAGCTCAAGGTCTCCGATTTCGGCCTCAGCGCCGTCGCCGATCAGATTCGACCCGACGGACTCCTCCACACCCTCTGCGGCACCCCCGCCTACGTGGCGCCGGAGATCCTCGCAAAGAAAGGCTACGACGGCGCTAGGGCCGACGTCTGGTCGTGCGGCGTCGTATTGTTCGTGCTGAACGCCGGTTATCTCCCGTTCAACGATCCGAACCTCATGGTCATGTACCGTAAGATCTACAAGGGAGAGTTCCGTGTGCCGAGATGGACATCGCCGGAGCTCCGGCAACTGCTGACCCGGCTTCTGGACCCGAATCCGTCAACGAGGATCACCGTCGACGAGATCATCAAAGATCCGTGGTTCAAACAGGGATACGATGAGAAAAAGTCGAGATTCCACCAGGAGGATTCGGATCTGAAGCTACCGGGGAACGAAGGGGGGAGGAGACGGCTAAACGCGTTCGACATCATATCGGGAGCTCCGGGATTCAATCTGTCGGGTATGTTCAGAGAGGCGAGCAAGTACGAGAAGACGGAGAGGTTCGTAACGGGGGAGAGGCCAGAGAGGGTGGTGGAGGAGCTGGAGGCGGCGGCGAAGGAGGAGAATCTGAAGGTGGAGAAGGAGGAGTGGGGGATGAAGCTGGAGGGGGGGAAGTATAAGATAGCGATGGTGGTGGAGATAAACAGGTTAACGGAGGAGCTGGTCATGATAGAGGTCAGGACGAAGAGGGGGTCATGGGGAGACAGGATACGGCCGTGTCTCATTCACCTGTCCGTACGGTCTCCGGTCGAAGCGGTGTATAGGGTCAGATGAGGAAAATCTTCTTAGATTTTACGTTGACGATTCTGACAAGTGTTTTTTTAGGGGCGGTTCTGTTCTGCTGAGTTCCGTTCCGTTCCGTTCACATTATCAACGTCGTCGGCGACCGTTTGTAATCTTATATGTGTGGAAAATATCAAACTCCGATTAGTTTTAGCGCAATGTATAGACTATGAATATCGATCCTTAATTATGTATGTGTAATTGGGCATTCACTGCATCATATGACTCGTCTAATACCATGTATCATGTTTTAGAACGTCTTTTTTCCCTCCTGAATCATCAAAGAGTTTGGAGAACGAAGATTTGATTCTATTTATTTAGACTTCACATTTATTTATTTTAATTAGGGAGGTTTAGATAACTTTCGGTTTAACTATATCTAACTTTAGCAGATGAACCGTTTTACTGTAATTAATTGCATCTCACCTCCTTAACGTTCACTCGAACATGGGACTTGGGACATGGATATTTCTACCCTTCTCAACCAAGAACCACCCGATCAACTCCGATTGGATTCACAATTATCTTCCGGACCCTTGTTTGGATAATAAACTATATGACCAAGTTACCCACAAAAAAACAAACAAAGTATCCAAGTGTGATTGCGATACGAATGGCCTTTGTTTATCCACCACCACCACCGCTGCGAGTCGAGGGAGCGAACGTTTCTACTCACAGTATCATCAGTGATATATACCTCAGGGTTGTCGTTTCGTATTTGTAATTTGGGTGTCACTGCTCTTTTTTGTTTTTTTTACGTGGATAAAAACAAGTATTTGGTTAGTCCAAATCAATAAATATGAGAATGATATATATATGGATGGATATGGAAACAGATGTGTGAAAAGCCAACTGCCTTACTTTGGTGCCATCTATGATTTTTGACGCCACAGGTGGCCGTCCATTTCACATCATTACGAATATTTTAAGTTTGTGGTCTAAATTTAAAGCCAAAGCAACAATTTCCATGTATCCCTTTCTCTTTTATTGTTTTTGTCCGATTACTAATAACCCAAATATCATTTTCATCTCATGTCAACTTTATACTTTTATTATCCGGAAACTGGTGGTTCCCCAATAATCGAGATTCCACGTCAACACGCAATTACCCCTTTTGTTTAGAAGTGGACGTTTCGGTTCGGTTCTTCGGAACCGGACCGAACCGTTAAAACAGTATTGGTATCTATTTTTGTAAAACGGAAAGAACCGAACCGATTCATTCCGTCCCGAACCGTTTCCCGAAACGCCCACCCCTAACAAAAATGGCATAACTTTACTCGACTGCCTTTCTCTGATTCATGGTGGGTCGTGGGCTTCATGAAAATAACAACACAGTCCTCCGACCGGTTTACTCGCAATGATATTTTGGTCAATACCCAAAAAAAGCTGAACCG